GTTTTATAATCAGTTCTGAACCTTCTGTTAGTCCAGATAAATGAAAGATTTTCTCAGGAAAAATCTACAATTATATTACTGTGTTCACAGTAAAATAAAAATAGTGATTTACATAAAAACACAATGAAAACAATGTAATCAGATTCTCTGTGATTTTTTTTATACCATTATAAATCCTTAAGGCACGATTAAAGAAAAGAAGTGGTTACACTTTTCCTGTGACAGTCATGTGTGACCATTCATGATTTAACAAATGCATAAACATTCTTAGTTAAACAACAAATGAATCACGAACAGAAGAGATTGTTCTGTCCATTATCTGATTAAGATAACTGAGGGATTCTCTTCCACGGTTGGAATGACCTGTCATGGCCTAAATAGAGTTCAGTTTGTGACAGAGTTCCTGTCCTCTCGTCAGGCCTGCTTCGAGGCAGTAAATCTTGTTTCTTCACTCGAGGTGACCCCTACAAAATGATAAAATTTGGAAAATCGTCCTTAATTTTGCAAAAACCTTTTTACGCTCATTCGAGATGGTTTTTGGGTTTTCCAAAAAAGTGTTGAGGGGAAATGGGGGAGAGGAGAGATAGAAACACATTTGCCAAATAAGTTCTGATGTAGTGAATATTTACCTCACATTGTTGATCAGCTGTTCCCGCAATAATTCCAATAATTCTTCCGACTACGGCTGGACCCTTCTCCCACTGTCGGCATCTTCCCGGATATTGCCGTAATGTGAAGAGAATTGCATTTCTTTCTCTATGTCTCCAATACTAGCTAATTCCCAAAAGCAGCAACACTTTCCTGTTAACTTTTCTCCACTGTCCTGTGCAACCATGCGAGTTTGCGACTTTACTTCCTGTTTATTACAGTCATATGTAACGTCAATATCTGACATAATTAGTTGATTTGCTCCAAGCCAATAGATAGAAACATGCCTGATTCACACTTTTTTATTTAAATTTATTTATTTATTGCTTTTTGCAAAATTTTAAAAGTTTGCTCGAAATTCGCATCAAAATTGGATGGAAGCACGACTATTGACCCACCAAGCTGCCACAGCCCACATGTGTGGATCAGACAAGGAATAATAAAGGTTAGGACCTTACTTAAAGGAATTGAACCCATGACCTACTGATCACAGACTAACCTTATCTAACCTGTCCAACCTAAAATGTGATAAAACTGTCACTAAATGCTAAAATCTTCATAACATTAGCTAAAATAAAACACATAGCAAGTGTGCTGAAGCAGATTTTAGATAAAGTTTTGTAGAAATTAAAACAATCAGTGCATACTTGTGGAAAAACATTCAGTAAAGAAAGGTAAATATTTCAAAAAGCATATACTCATACTTACAAATACTCATAACGCACTACTCCCAATCGAGCCAAACCTTTTGAAATATGAGTAGTTAAAATAGGACAAAGTATGCAGAAATAGTTTGCAAAAAACATACAGAATAAACTATAAAGAAGCGAACAATCGTGTGAATTCTTAATCGGTGTTCATACAAGAACAAAGCCGCCTGAATTTAGAGGCAGGGCATCGTTATGGTTAGAGGGAGGAGGAGAGCGAGAAAGGAAGAGGAAGGAGGGAGGGAGAGAGCAGGAGTTAATGCGAGAGGGACCTGAAAAGGAGGACAGAGAGCCACGAGACAAGAGAAGACGAGGAGCTCCAGAGGAGGTTTCTTGTTGTTCTTGTTGGGGGGCCAGGATGAGCAGCCCGTGCCTGCTGCGAACTGCCCCCATCAGCCAACCTCGGCTCAGAGAGGTCAAGCTCAGTCTGAAGGCCAGCAGCAGGGACACTAAAACCATCCAGAGCAGCGGCAGAGGGGCCAGCAGACCCTACTCCCCAGCAGAGAAGGAGGCACAAGTGTGGGTGGGCGTGAGCAGCAGCGGCAGCCGGAGCAGGAGCACCCCTCCGGTCCACCACAGCCAGAGATCCGAGAACAGGAGGACACCACGAGACAGCAGGCAGCACGGACCCCAACACCATCCAGAGAGGAATGGAACCCTGCTGCACGTCCCACTGGCCGAGGCACCCACCGGTGTGCCCGCTTTCTCCTCCTCATCGTCCTCATCCTCCTCCTGCACCCCCAGACGTCAGCGGACCTCTCACCCCCATCCGGCTCCAGTCCTCTCCTCATCCTCCTCTTTCTCCTCGGCCAAAAGTATGAAGCGAGCTCGCGGGTTGAGTTATAGCACCTCCAACATCGGTTTCAACTCCATCCTAGATGGGCGCTTCAGGCAGCTGCAAGGTACAGGTCCTGAACTAAAGTTGGGGGGTCACTCCCCTCCCTTTCTCCTCATGTGTTTGTGTTTATGCTGGGCCACAACGGCGCAGATGTTGTGTTGCTAAATGTGTGAGCAGAACTTCAAAAAGCATCAACAGTAGTGGCTCTTTGATAAAGTAACAATCAGCATTTCTACAAAGTTGTAGCTGTTTTGGTCAAACCTTGAAAATAAAGCTATGAATGATCCTCTGCTGCGTTGTCAGATATCACACTCAAAGTATGACTTTCAGTTACTACCACATCAGGTTTTAGCTCAATAAAGCTAACTGTGTTGTAGCCCTCTTTTCATTGGCTAACGTCGATTTGCTGTGGAGGCCATCTTGAATTGAATTGATTCCAAAGAAATCTGTTGTAGAAGTGCATGCAAAGGTTACAGTATTTTCTGCTGTTCGTTCAGTGGTTCATGAAACATTTTGCTAACAGACAGACACATGCGCAGACATGAACAAGGACAAAACTTCCTGCCTTTGCTTTTTGTTGGTGGGTGATAATAATTCATTTATTTTTCAGGAAGCCTGGACTCTCCCTAATTGTTCACCAGCTTGGCCTTGAATAATTTATTCACACATACAGAGCTTTTAATGTTTTTTTTCCCACTTAAGCCAGTCATCTGTAGCTAGTATACTGCATTCTTCAGTTTTTTTTATTTTAACACAAATTTTTATTGCTCAGATGCTTGTTTTCCATATGGCCCTTTGAAAGCTGATTAAAGAGAACAAGGTAATCTTGAGTTTTACCTGATCTCTGTCTTATTGCAAAGGGAATGATAAAGGTTTTGTCTGTGTGTTTATTTGACTGTATTGTTAGCAAAATACCTTATGGATCATTGATTTTAATAAAACTTACAGGAAAAAATAATGTGCATTTGTAACTGACTAACGTTTTTTTTTTTTTTGCTAATTTAAGTCAAGACAGCTGTCACAGCTAACTGAGATTATCCAACTCAAAATGTCTATAACAGATTTTACAGATATTAAGCTAAAGTTTGATGTAGCTGAAAGTCATTCACAACATAAAAATGACCATGCATCTTGCTCTGTGACAAGGTCATGAATAATCTTAATTTTAAAGTTGGACCAAAGGTATTAAAACTACATTATTTTTCATTTTATGATGGTTTTGGGCTACATCTACTCTGCAGCACTTAATGCTCAACTTTGATAGTTTTGCTGATAATTTTATTTTGTGTGTGTGTAGTTGTTCACATTATATTTTAAACGTAGCTGCCATCAGACTTCAGTGTGTCAAGTCTACAGCCCAGGATTGACCCACATGCACAGAAGAAGTGATCTCTCACTGGGTACGCTGTGTTTATGGAGGTAAATATGGATGGTACAAATGTCAGCAAGTGTGGATTCATTCTGAAGTTGTGCAATTGGAGCTGACACTATTATTACATCACACACTTGTTTTGGCCAATGTTTACAGCACAAAATTGCACTTCTAAAAGCAAAGATATTAAACGTTCTGAAAGTAGAAACAAACTCAAGTATCGATCCTGTTTGTACGGATACAATCCACCAACATTAGTATCATATTCTGAATGAATCTGCACCTCTTCTTCGTTTACATAAAAGTTGTCTCAAATACGTGATTGTTCAGACTGAGGTCTCTTAGAAAAACAGAAGATACGTATGTAAATTAGTTCCACTTATGAAAGTAACTTGGATCTGATTTGAAGAATTTCAATTTGTGACATACGGACTGTCGCAAAAAAATTAGAAATTGGTCACATACGAGCAGAGAATTTGGATTTGGACCGCTTTTGTCTACAATGTGACTGTAGCCTCAGTCTAATACTTAAACATGAAAGGCAGCGGGCGATATCCATTACTAAGAAATGATAGGTTTTAAATTCCACAAAGGGTCTGCGTTGGTGTTTTAAAAATAATCAATTTCTCTGATCGTTTAACATCTCCCCGCCTGTTATTAAGGTTACAGGAGAGTTCTTCCTTCACACAGGATTTCTCTGAGCATGCAGTTTGCTTTCCAACTCCCTGATGGCAGGAGTGCATTAGTGAGACGGGGAAAATGGAGGAGATGATGCAGGAACAGAAAGGAAAATGCTTTATTTATTTATTAATTTTTTTAAAAGTTCCTCTGCTATTATTTCAAGTATTGACTGATTCTGAAGGCACTGAAATGTGAAGCGGGAAACTTCTGACGCTTTCCCAAATAAGAGAAGTGTCACGAGATGATCCGAGTGCATTGATTTACCAACTGCTTATGTTTTTTTTCTTTCAACGATAAGGGAGTGTTTCAGTGATTGCATCAGGATGAAGTTTGACAAAATAAATACAAAAGAAAAACATAAACTAAAGAAGAGTTTGAAAACCATATAGATTTTATTTTGTTTTTATGTTTGGACTATTTGTTAAAAATCAATATTCATAACATTTCTTTTTAACCTAGACATGCTTATTGTTGTGACCTTCTCGCAGAAAATCCTTTCCTCCATTAGCTTTTTACTGACCTTAGGAAACCTAAAATGGTTGTACTAAATCAGTCCATTCCGGTGCAATATTAGCTGAAAATGTTCCCCAACTCTTGGGCTGATTGCAGATCTTTGTCTAAAGCTTTGGCTTTACATGTCGATGTATAACTCTGGTTGTCTGTTGGCTAAACAGCTCATAAACCAGTGAACAGTTCTACAGTAAATAAGACTCTCAGAATGTAACCACTGGGTATATATGCAACTCAATAACTTTTAAAGTCAACATAATTGTAGATGGCTGCCACAGCTAATCATCATTAATTACAGAGCCCGCGAGGGGACGTGGGGGGAATTTTTTCTTTTGCATTCCCTCGCAATACTTTTGTGTTCCCTCGCAATACCTTTGCGTTCCCTCCCAATACTTTTGCGTTACCTCGCAATACCTTTACGTTCCCTCCCAATACTTTTGCGTTACCTCGCAATACCTTTGCGTTCCCTCCCAATACTTTTGCGTTCCCTCGCAATACTTTTGCGTTCCCTTGCAATACTTTTGCGTTACCTCACAATACCTTTGCATTCCCTCGCAATACTTTTGCGTTACCTCGCAATACCTTTGCGTTCCCTCGCAATACTTTTGTGTTACCTCGCAATACCTTTGCTTTCCCTCGCAATACTTTTGTGTTACCTCGCAATACCTTTGCGTTCCCTCGCAATACTTTTGCGTTCCCTCGCACTACCTTTGCGTTCCCTCGCAATACCTTTGCGTTCCCTCGCAATACCTTTGCGTTCCCTCGCAATACCTTTGCGTTCCCTCGCAATACTTTTGTGTTACCTCACAATACCTTTGCGTTCCCTCGCAATACTTTTGCGTTACCTCACAATACTTTTGCTTTCCCTCGCAATACTTTTGCGTTACCTGGCAATACTTTTGCGTTACCTCGCAATACCTTTGCATTCCCTCGCAATACTTTTGCGTTACCTCGCAATACCTTTGCGTTCCCTCGCAATACCTTTGCGTTCCCTTGCAATACTTTTGCGTTCCCTCGCAATACCTTTGCGTTCCCTCGCAATACTTTTGCGTTACCTTGCAATATTGTTTTACGTTCCCACGCAAAAGTTTGATTTGTATTTGAACTGAATTAAATCAGACTTTTATTTAGAAATATCCAGTTACCAAAACAGGATCTGTCGCCACAAGTTCGTGAAATAGACATTGATGTTGCGTGGCTGCACTGTGTTAAAGTATCGGCATATGACATACTTCCATGTGTGTTTGTGTGATATATTCATTCTAAGTCTGAATTAAAGCAGTAGGTTAACTCGTTAATGGTGAACATGTGAGTTTGTTAATAAACCGGCAGGCACAACAGTGATAAAGGACTTTTGCGAGGGAACGCAAAAGGTATTGCGAGGTAAAGCAATACCTTTTGCGTGGGAATGCAAAAAGAAAAAAAAAATCCCCCATGTCCCCTCGCGGGCTCAGTAATTAATAAAAACAAAAATGGTCATAACTCAAGTAATTTTTATGGTGATTGAGCTAAAATTTGTTTTGGTAATAACTGAGACATATCCACACAAGATCTCCTGATATTGCTTGAGATTGTGCAAAATTGCTATAACTGTTAATTCTTCATTCTCTTGCATTAAGAGCAGCAGGTGATGTTCATTCCTTCAAGGACTGCTTGGCCTTTAAGTTTATTAAGGTTTTGCATTTCACATGCTTCTCTTGCATCTAATTCTTCTAATGCTCTCTAATGCTCTGGCTGGCAGAAATAAACATCAAATGCACATTAATCTCATGCTCAGCAGCTTCAGAGGGACAGTTCATCCATTGAAGGATCAAACTGTCTATTTTGCTTTGGACGTCTGGATGGAGTGTGTTAGGAAAGCAGATGCTGAGCTCTGTCTCACGTCAGTGGCAGGACCTGGCACTGGCATGACTCAGGCATGGTGCTCTGGATCCACTGGGCCAAATTCAGTAAGAGCTGACTGTGGGGGAAAAGTTATATTGAGTTGTATACAGGGAAAATCCATCAGCATGAATAAGTCATGGGGCTTTCACCGAACTCAAAGAGTGGATGAGAGATTACTAAGTAAAAGCATGTGAAACAGGGGAATGTTTAGTTCAGCCTGTAATAATACACAGGACAGGAATATTTAGGTAGTTGGAAAGGACAGATGAGTAAAAAGACTGTTCTAGTTTGGTCTGTAAAAAACAGCTCCTAAATGTCATTCCATGGAGGAAGACATGCCTGCCTATGTACTTGCCAAATACCAAAGATGTAGATGATATCACTCAAAGTACGTGTTGAGTCAGATTTTAGCTCAGTATCTGTAAAACTGACAGATTTATAGTGATTCT